TCCATTAATTTCCCTAAGTGTGATGTCAGTGCTATAGGCCTGTAGTTCCCTGGGGTAGTTGTGTGTTTGTCCCCGGGTTACAGGTGATTGCTGGAGGGCATGGCTTTACACCTGAATGAAATCATGGCACTTTAAAAGACACTGGGTCAAACAGATCACAGATCACTGATATTAATCACTATTTGTAGAGATACTGCTAGAGAAACCACTTTTGGTTTGGTTTGGTTTATTTCAGACAGACAACTTAGTTTCAACACAGTTGAGCTGACAAACAACAGCATATTTACAGCAGTCTGAAACAGGTGTAGGTTGAAGCTTTTGCTTATAATGCCTACCCTTTTTGAAAACATCTCATATTTTAATAAAATAAAATAAACATAATTATTGTCTTACATCATTATATTGTTGACAAACAAATCTAAACAGAATGCAAAAACATTAGTATTTCCTATGCAATACAGTTGCACAATCCAAAATACAACAAAAACAGCTTGTTCATTTATCACTCTTTAAAGGTGCTCTATGTATTTTTAGCGGCCTCTAGCGGTGATGTTTCAGATTGCAACAAGAGGGCTCGTGCTCGTGTGCGTGCTCGATCTCAAGAGCGAGCATTCACTACCGGCCACACGGAGACTTTCAACGCAATGGCGAAAGCATCACACAACATGCTGGAAACTCATGTAAACGCCCACTGCAACGTTACAATAATAGGCTACTTTTATCAGCTTGACGTTGAACTAATGCTCCATGCTCGTACCATGATAACGTTACATTGACTGCATTTAGCCGACATGTGATGTTATCTAGCATAAGGCATTTCACTAACTATTCCTGTATCTTTCACAATCAGCAATGTCAACATAGGTGAATGTATAATATGATAACGAAAACGGTGAACTAGACTGAACAATGTCAGTGTAACAGTAAGGCAGTAGGAAGTAACATTACTGTACTGAACGTGTCTGGAAATGTTTATTATAAACAATATGATAGTAGTGGGATGAGTGACGTTAGACATTAGATCTAGTACATAAAATACGTTGCATCCTAAAGCACCTACTTTTTGTTATCCTGGAACAGTCTTTTGTATTAATTTCATGTCTCATGTAGTTTACCTTGCTATTTCATTAGAGTTTACTAATGATTCAAAAGCTCTGCCGATGTTGATCCGTGTTTTCGTCGATCAGAATCACGTTTGGCCTGACGAGCTTCAGCAGATAAAACTTTTTTTTTGTTTTTTATATTTATGTGGTGTTTGTGTTGGAGTCTGTGTTGTGTTGGAGTCTGTGTTGTGCTGGAGGCAGGTCATTTTGGGGTGTTATCAGACTCCATGGCTGCGTTCCAGTCCAAAATTGTCATGCCCTTCACTCGCTAACTTCCCTCCGTCTTGTTCACTCGGATGTACGTCATTGCTTACGTTGCACGAGTGCCCACTACTGGCGGAAACTGCAATTGGCTGAATTGGAACGTCCTAAGCCCTTGATCACTTGGAATCAGCCATGGAGTTGATTTATTATTTAATTTTTTTTCCTTTAAGAATTTGTTTAATGCAGCATCCAAATGTATATAGGTGTGTTTGGGTTGTTTTAAATTAAAAATATATATAATTAATATATCAGAGTTGTTTGTGGTGGTGGTGATTAGACGAGATCTGCGGTGGTGACGTCACAATTGTGTTGCATTGTGGTATATGGAATTGCCTGAAGTGTACATATGAAGTAGACTCGCTCCCTCTGTCAAAATCAAGGGAACAAGTGTCTGTCCATATAAACTTCCCTCGTCCACTTCACGAAGTGGAACACACTTCAAAATGGCGGCAGGGATTCCCCTGAGGGGAAGTGCTTAGGGAAGTTCGCAAGTGTGTGTCTAAAAGTGGACTGGAACGCAGCCCATGTCGTTAGCTGAAGTGCCGTCGCATAGACTGTATAGACCTTATGTAGCCCCACCCCTTTTCAGCGTTGCGCTGGTTGTCTTTTGACTTCCGGTCTGTATTTTCACAGCGAACTTGCATAGGTATGAATGAACTGCTCGTAAAAAATTTCCCGGTCGACATTTGTTAAAGGGGTCATATAATGCCATTTTTGTACAAGCTAATATGATTCTTTAGAGTCTAAATTAAAACTTTGTAATATACTTTAATTAAAAATTCTCATTAGTATTGTAAGAAAACACTTATTTTACCTGGTCAAAAACAGCTCTGTTTTCAGCACGCCGTTTCAGTGTATATGACTTTAAATGATAATGAGTTTTGCTCACCCCGCCTCTCTGTTCTGTGTACACCGTTTGTAACACAATACCATAACGCGTTGTTCATTATAGATGTGGGATTATGAATTATATTGAGAACGTCGTACATAGAAAACATGCCGTAATGTACCCTGAGTGTAAACCTTAGACGCATTCATTGTGAAGCGTGCATCTAGCGATTTGCTATGGAAGTCAATTTCTGCCAAAATTAAATAAATCAATTAAATGTTAAAAATGAAAACTAAAACCAGTTTAACCATTTCATTATAGAAAACTGTACGCAAAATATGTGACAAAATTGATAATGAAATTAAATTATTTCATTTTCATTTTCATTTTCACCATGACAGTGCATCATCCCTGTCAAATTGAAAAATAAAATGCAATTGGTGATTTCACGTTTCATTTTCACTACAATCTCGAGGCAAGACTGCCAATACTAAAATGAAAAGGCAAACGTGCAAAAGAAACTGCAAATGCAGTTTTTACAAAGCTTTTTATTAACACTCACGCAATAATAGTGACAAAATTCAAGTTCAAATGTAAAGTTTAGTTGTCATTTTATTTACTCTTTTATTTCACAGTTTTAGTTTTCGTTTTCATTTTCAAAGACAACCTGTATGCAAATTATATGTTAATGAGTGGGTGGAGCTTATTCAAGTAACGGTGCCACAGACACGCCTTCCATAAAGCAACGTCGTTGACGTTCCGTGTAAATGAGGGTGATTGAGTGAGTGTGATACGCGATACGAAGTCATGGCGAAATCTGTTAGTCAGCTTTTGCGGGAAGCCGCTGCAGCATTGGAACGAAAGGAGATTGAGAACAACACAAACCATACTGTCCAGCAGCAGCAAGTGTCAAACCCTCGGCCCACTGCAGTTCCTCAGCCTGAGTCGCGGGCATCTTCAGTTGCCAGAGAAACTGTTCAGCGTAAGTAACGCTAGGCCATGTTATGATGTTAGAGTCACTAGACCATAATCGATGAGGTTCATTCATGTATTAGCCTATTTTGTGATGTCAACCCCTTAGTTAATCTTAGTAACACAACTCTACAACAATTATAGCCAGACATTATCACACGCTATGGCTATGCCGATAGATAACGTATCTAAGTTAACTGTCACCGAGGACCGCACCGGACCTCGGCAATTGTTTCATATTTAAAAAATATTTGAAACTATATAAAACTGAATAAAAAAATCAGCTGTGGAAAACTTCTGCTTGATTGTCTGCGTGTATAATTCAGTTTAGACAGTTGCCTAGATCGTTACATGTCCGCTGTGAGTGTGTCTGTACTGTAAATGCCCCTCCCCCCACACAAAACATTTATTCATTATTTTTATTTCAAATCCAGAAGTTGTTACTGAAAATGAAAATCAGCATTGTGATTCTTTTTGTACACAGTACATACTTAAACTAACCAAAAAGACACGTAAACAGCGGGCAGATTATTTTTACTGGCAGCATACTGCATTCAGTATTATGATAATAACTTTATATACATGTATAGATTGGGTTGCATTGTAGGTTTAATTATGGTAAAATTCTTAACAACCCAGACCTTGCTAATTTTAAAACTGGTGTTATATGTGGAATGGCTGTTTATACAGCCAGGTCTATGTACAAACATATTTTATAACCCTGCTTTTCATGTCTCCACAGGCGAGGTGTCAAGACTGTTTTCACCATACCCTCAGAGCAGTTCTTTGTCCTCTGGTATGCGCAGACGACAGACTTTAATAAAGCCATGCAACAAAAAGACTTACACTCACAAATTTTTCTGTTTGAGTGGATGACGTGACTGCAAAGTACCACAGCTGTGGGAAAAGATGGATCTTGAATGTTCAGGGTTGGGAGAAAAAAAGATCGTTTTCCCAGGTACACCAACCCCCCCCCCCCCCCCCCATCCCATCCCATCCCATCCCCATCCCACACCACACCACACCACACACACACACACACACTTTATTTGGAACAATTTTAGTACTTTGAGTTACCTAAAATAACTTTTTTTTCTTCTTCTAAATATGTCAGTTAACATGGGTGTCATTTTAGTCAGGTGCTCTCTGGAAAAAATTTGGATTGATTTGTTTAATTGACCATTTCTGTTGCAGATAAGCACTGCACATCTGGAGAATTCAAGTCCACATTGCTTATGGAGTTTCCAAAACTGAAAGATGGTGGGGGGTTTGAATTGCTCAGACCATATGGTGCTACGAGGACAAAAACTTTGCAAGTCGTCCCCTGTCCATCAGAAGGGTATACACCGCATTATCTTCAAGACACCATTGGAATACATGCAGCAATTGTGTATGTAAGGCCTCTTCAGAAAGACCTTGGCATGGTATGTATGTAACCATAAATGCCACATGCATGCAGTAAATGAGTTTGAAAATGGAGGTGACAGTTTTTCCACTGCTTGTTTTAAGGAATCGTGTGAACCTAAATGTGGATCTGGGCCCCCTGTACAGTGCATTTACTGTGATGAAACATTTAGCCATGTAGAAATCCAGGACCATGTGGACAAATGTATCTTGTGAGTAAATGGTGACCTATGGAATTTAAGATATTGGTACCGCTATATTTCTGTAAGCTGCTTTGAAAGTCTGCATTATGTATAGTACTATATAAATGAAAAACTGATTTAAGTCATATTGAACATGTTTTCTTGCTTCTTGTGTTTAGCAACACATGTTGTCACAGTTCATTTTATGCTCTTTTTTGTCATATAACAGAAATTTTCTTCTAAAAAAATAGGTCAGCAAAAGAGAAGAGCATTGAAAGAGATGAAAACAGCAGAGGTCAAAACTGTGACAGGCAGGAGATTATTGACCTTGACGTCAGTGACGAGGTTTTAGAAGAGACCTGTAGCAGCAGACAGGAGAATGATGAGCAGGTTACAGAAAGGAGTCATAGCAGCAGAGAGCAGCGTCATGATCTGGCTTTTGAAGGGACGAGTAGCAGGAGACTAGATAGCGGAGATTTGAAATTCAGCAGTGAGGATACTGAAGGTCTTTTTATGAACATAAATTTGGCAACTTGCAAATTAACATTTTATTTTTTCTGCATAAATAATTTAATACTACTAATCATATGCACATTTTTGCAGACTGGAGAACTGAGCCTGATTTGAACCATGCTGCTTACATATTTAGACGTTTTGTACTGCAAGAAGTGGAGGATCAGCCAGATCTTGTGGCAAAGATGGATCTACGTAAAAGTCCCGAAGAGAGAGAGAGAGAAATACTGACATTTTACAAAAATTCCATGACTAACTGGGCCCGTCCATTGTCTGTTCTACTTGGAGGTAAGGTTTAATTTAGCGAAAAAGTACAGTATGGTTTCAGCCATTTACTCACCCTCATGTAATTTTAAATATGTTTTTTTTTTTATTCTTTGGAGCAAAAAAAAGTATTTTAGAAACGGTCAATAACATAGAAGAAAAAGTCATACATGTGTTGAACAATATGAGGTCTCATATTTCTGTGTGAAGTATTCCTTTTTCCTTTCCTTTGTTTTACTTATTAAATATAACTACACAGTTGGCTGTGTAATATTTCTCCTCTTATTCACAGGTGATTCTGCCTTTGGAGATGGGGTAAAACGCCATTTTCTCTCCTTTGTTATGTCAAGAGTACAATACGGATTTGGCCTAAATCTTGGTAAGTTCTAAAATATTTATTAGCCTATTTAATTTTGATGTAAGAGACATAAAGATAGAAGGTTGTGTAAAATTGTTTTATTAGCATCTGGACATTTCTATATATATTGTTTTTTAATCATCATATTTTCTAGAAAACTGTGGTAAAACATTGTTCTTTAATGGACAAGAAGACCATTTGGTGCCTTCCACTTCTCGGCTCTTACTGGATAGTGACCTTTTCCGTGTCATTGGGCGCATGATTGGACATTCCTTCCTGCACAGTGGACCCTTGCTCAACGGTTTGAGCCACTCATTTTTCAATCTGTTGATTGGACAGAAGGATGAGATAGCTGTTGTAGAACTAGAGGACTGCCCTGACACCGACGTGACTGATATTGTTTTACTTGTGAGTTTAAATTCAGCATCATCTATAATGTCATGTTCAAGTAAAGGATAATCCACGGCTAGCTGTGCATTAAACAATTTTAATGCATGATGTGGAGGCAAAAAAGGTTGCCCCCACGTTGTGTATTAAAATCGTTTAATGCACAGCTAGCCGTGGATTATCCTTTACTTATCGCACACTTTCCTAACCCAGAATCAAATATTCAGACAGACCATGGTAAAATGACAAAATGTGTTATATATTGCATGCTTTAAGTTTGTCTTGAAGAACATTCTACAAATCATTTCTGATACATATCTGCTGTCATAGCTTCAAGGGTCTGGAAATTTGACAGAAGATGAACATGACCAAGTAAATAACTTGGCAATCAACTGGGATCTCCCACCAGTAAATGAGAACAACAGAAAATGGTTGGCACAAAGCATCCTTTACCATGCAGTAAGTGCCATTGATTCTATAATGAATGTTTTACTCTTGACATACTAAAATACTTAAAAAAAAAACATTATTTATATCCTTGGAGTGGTGATATTTAGTATAACAGCACTGTGATGCTTTACTTTCTGTATCATTCTGCTTGTCTGTGTTCCTGACTTCCCAAATAGTTGGGGATTCATTGTTTATTTACTTTTGTTTAGTGACCATTTTTACAGATTTCATATTTTATATCATTAAATAATGCCAAATGAATTAATACAGGTCATTGGTCGGAGGGAAAAGCAAATTCGACAGATCAGACTGGGGTTAAAAGACACAGGAGTCTTGCGTATGATCAAAGAACGGCCTGCCCTGACTGATGTTCTTTTTCCAAGAGCATCAGCTCAAATGATTGAGCGAGAGGTATTGTTGCATTTATACCATATACGTTTCATCCATGAATTGCATTGTGTGGTTTAAATAGAGAATTGATACAGTATATACTAGATAAATCTTGGCTAGGTAATCTAATTAATTTAATTTGTCACCATAACCCTAATTCAGGTTTTTTGATCAGATGGAATGTATAATATTTTTTTGCTTTGTTTTTAGATGGTCCTCGACAGAATTATATGGCCAACAGTTGACAGTGACGATGAAGACTATGGTGGCTATAGTCTGGAGGACACATTCAAGATAACTGGTTTCTTTCGTCAGTACATTGAAAATGGTAGGTAAAAAGAAACCACCTCTTAATACACAATTGTGAAGCATGTTTAACCTTAACTTGTACAAACCCATTTTCAGAGATGTAAAGAGTACCTTAAAACCACATTTAAGTGAAAGTACATAATACCTTAAAATGACTTCAATTCTAACATCACTTGAGTAAAAGTCTAAAAAAAAGTACTTAAAGGGATAGTTCACCAAATAAAATAAGATAAAGTTTAGTAAAATTAAGTAAAGTGGGCATGCTGGTTTGGGCCTCATCACTGGCTACAGCTATTGCTGCCTTTACATGCTATCGGAATTAACATAAATACTAGTTTCCTAGTTTAAAAAATTTGACATGAATACCCTCTCATGTCAAAAATTTAATGTGATGAGCTCATAATCCAACTTTAGAAGTAGAACATTTCCGATAGCACGTGAAGGCAGCATATGTCCTCATCTCATATATGAAACACCTGCGATTCAGAAACTACCTGCTAATGCACTCACATTTGCATAAAGTAGCCTTGACAAGTTTGGGTGATAATAAATACATTTACTCAAATACTTTACACCACTGCCCATTTTTAAATGCGGTATTCAACCTATATGATCTTATTTTTTAAGTTGCATTCTCAATTAAATAATTATTTTGGCAGATTATAGTGACTCCAAAAAGGATATGTACACCATGAAAGTACTCCATATGATTTGCACACTATATTTACAAGTCTTCTGAAACTATACAATTTATTATATTGTTTTATTGAACAGACTTTTAGTAATAATTCACTCTCTGAAAATCAAATATAATTGAAGATTTCTATTTTTACACAGGCACACCAGAAGAGCTGATGCAACTCATTCAATTCTGGGTGGGTTGGGGAATTCTTCCTCAGAATCTATATGTAGAGGTGTCCTCTGATGTTGCAATGCCAACTGCATCCACTTGTAGAGAAACCATCAAACTCCCAGCAAAATATAGCACTTATGAGAGTTTCCATAAGGACCTGAAAGCTGCTGTATCATCAATAGAGAGTGGGTTTGGTTTGGTGTAATTACTGTTCTATGTACTAACATGCAACTCTTCAGCAAAAAAATTTTTTTTTTTAAAGTTACACTACCTAAAGGTCACAGTTGAAACTGCAGGTTTGCTTATTTTTGGCTGTAACAATGACGCGGTCACAATACTGGGGCATGTTTCCCCTGTTAAAAAAAAAATACAGTGTTGCACCCTAGTTTGAGAAAGTCATTTATTTATTACATATGAATTATATTTTCTGTCCTATTACAATGGTAAATTAACTTCATTAGCTGTTTTGTTCAACAGTATGAAATGTCAGACAAATAAAAGTCTTTTAATTCGGATTTAATAAAATCCAGTGTTTTGTCTGGTTTCTTGAATCAACGTACAATAAACTGGCTGGAGAGTTTATACCAACATATGAAATGCTGTAAAATACAGTGCTATTTACAAAATGTCCAGTAATTGGTGAATTTTAGTGATTGTGTTGTAGTATGTGTCAATGGCTTCTGAAAAGGGCACATTAGGATTCGGCAGACTACCCAATTCCTCTTCGGTCAGTTGTCGAGGTAGAGCCACTTCTGGAATTGGCACTCCATCATTATCGTGACTTGGGGGTCCATCCCAGTCGATCCCATAATTTTCGTCCACCTGTGTTCATTAATGAAAATCAGTCATATTGTGGGTGGAAGGAGAAAAAAAAGTTGTTATAGTCTAAAAGTATAACAGAAAAAGACAACATTAAGACATTTATGATTTTTCCTAATACAATGGCTTAAGAATTAAAGGTGCAGTATGTGATTTCTAAGAAACAAATAATTTTGTGAATATTTGCTAGATGTCTATTCTGTGTGTGTGCTGAAATAAATATGTTTGTACATAGTCCTGGCTGTTTAAACAGTAGGAAAAAAGTGGATCTGACCAAGCAACAAAACACTTGTATAGGCAATCAGCAATAGGGATGTTGATTTCAAAAATCAACAGTGTTTCTCAGAAATCGCTTATGCACCTTTAAGGGTAAATATATACCCTATATACTCCATAATATACATACATAATCTGATGTAAATATATTTATATAATCTGATGTAAAAAATTATAATATATACATACATACATAATCTGATGTCTTACTTGAATGGTGTCATCAGTATTGTTGGAACTGTATCTTAACCAAAGCTGGACAGGTGACTGGCTCCCAGCAGTTCTGATGCGGTGGTTGTTCCATGCATCTTTAAAGAAGGCAAGATGCCTCTGCAGTTGACACAAAAAACTCCAGTGAAGGGCAAAAATGTCAATCTCAGAATCTGGATTGAGTATTCCCTCTGTCTCCATGTTGTAGAAGATGTGATAGAACATGCTTAAAACATGTTCATACACATCTCTCCAAAGCCTCTCAATTCTGTGGGGGAGAGAGTTTAGATTTAAAACACAACAAAAATGATGGGAATCATGTTTAGTCTGGTGTATTATACCATTCAACCTATTCAATATAGTCAGGGCTTGACATTAACTTTTTTGCTCACCAGCCACTGTGGATAGTGGTTTTTCAAAGTTACTGGCCACAATTTTGACATCGATACCATGGGGAAAAACTGCCATATATATATATTTAATATTATCTCATTATTTGGCAGCCGGTATATTAGGCTGCTGTTGCTTTAAGACATGACGCACGGACCCATTATACTGTTTTAAATAGCGAATACACTTGTCTTTATGTGCAAGCACTTTAGGTGTGAGCACAAAATCTGCGGGAATGACAATATGCGCAATCCCTCACCCTGTAACCAACAATATTCACCCGGAGCAAATTAAACGAGTCAGTAAAGGGACGCGGGTTTGTGTGTCAACCATAGACTGTAAAGGGTGTCACTCGCTGTCGGACAGATTAAAGAGGGAGGACGCGTTGATCCTGCGGAAGAGTTTCAGATAGTTCAGTATCGATATGTATTGAAAAATCTATATTTTTGACAACACTAGATTGCACTTAGTTTATTATTTCAGATGCCTTTTTAAAAGACTACAATTGAAAAATGTATATTAGGCCTATATAAAATTCAGCCCGCCAAAGTGGCTAGTAGGAGTGACTGCGTTACACGCCAGTGCTGAAATATACACGCATATGGCGGGTGTTAATGTCAAGCCCTGAATATAGTCCATGTAATATTTACCTCTGGTTGTGTACACTCCTTCCTGTAATATGAGAATTCCTGTTTTCTCCGCTGTGTGCCACCATGTACTCAGCAACAGCAATATTCTCCCCACCTTTGTCAGATCGGACTCTTGATGGCATACCATATTGATTAACAGCAGATATGAAGCTGCTGAGCACAGTGGATGCTCGGTTATTTGGAGACGCAGAAAGATAAACTATTAGTCGGCTGAAACCATCGATACCACCATGAATCACCAATCTCCATCTACAGAATAAACAAGAATATTGGCAAAACAAGTTCAGTATAAAAAAGGTGCAGGTTCTTTACTACAACAATGCACATTGCCCAAACATCAGATTTGAAATATGTGTACATGTAATGTTAACATCACCTGAAATTGCCAATTACAGTTAATACTAGCCATGATGTTGTGTGAAAGTAGTTTAATTTGATTAATTATATGTACATTCTCCATACTTTAATGGAGCCTACACCCAATTAGTACTCACAAGCACCACCTTTTTCATGCATATGAGGAGTGCGTCGCATTAAAAGCAAAAGAAACCATTATAAATCAATGATACTGGGTGTTGGTCTTCCACGTAGACTATAAAAAAAAGGTTACTAGGACTTGTTAGACACAGCATACAAATATATCTTGCAAAAATATGAGGCAAGTAATGTGTGCCTCAGGGAAGATATATTTGAGTAACACTACAAGAATTGTTACATTGTATGATGAATAATTCTTCATTAGTTAAAATGCATTTAAATAGTGATAATAAACCTTTGATTAATATATTTCAATACAATACAATTTTATTTGTATAGCACATTTAAAAACAACTGATGTTGACCAAAGTGCTTAAAGCAATAAAAAAGGTAGACAGCATGCACGAAACCAACAAATACTAGGGATGCACGATATAGGATTTTGGCCGATATTCGATATGCCGATATTTTCAAACTAATTTTGCCCGATGCCGATACCGATATATTTGTATTTTTTTTTAAGTGCAAAAAAAGCTTATTAAAGCTTCTATTAATGTTCTCAGTCAAGAGCAGTGAGTGATTTCCTCTGTGTTTTGTTGTTTTATTAACATTAACGGGATAGTTCTCCCAAAAATTTAAATTGTCATCATTTACTCTCTCAAGTTTCTTTCTTCTGTTGAAATTATAAAAGTTATTTGGAAGAATGTGGCTAACCAAACAGTTGCTGTACTCCAGTGACTTCCATAGTATATTTAAGCACAAGAAAGAAATGAATCCAGGTTTGAAACAACATTAGATAGACAGAATTTTTATTTCTGGGTGCAGTATCTCTTTAAAGACAAGCGGCAGCATATTATTACTGTCTCTTTAAGAACTGCACGCGAGTAACGCGACGCGTCTAATATACACGCATTTGACAAGCAGATTTTCTCTGTTTGCTTTCACTTTAGACATAACCAACTTTGTTTATGTAAACCTTGTGTGTATTTGACAGTATCAGCGCAATAAGACTCGAAAGATTAGTCCAGTATGCAGGCGCTGTGACAGGCTTTTAGTTCCTGTGAGCGTCGCGTGTACGCGCTCAGAAAAGCGCATGTTAGAACAGCGCATCAGCACGTGAATGACATGTTTACCTAGCAAGACTTTGACGCACATGCAAACAATGAACTTTTGAGAATTGCAGTGTCCCGTGAGTGTAACTCTACCTCTGCGTTTACATGTGATGTGAATGTACGTCGCGTTGTACAGTATGTTGAGATGAAGGCGCCAGAATTGAACTGATAGAATGCACGATACTATGATTTTTCTTCAAAAGCAGACCGTGGAGACATTTTAATCGTCCACGATCAAAAACCGTGAGACACACACCCCTAGTTGGAAGTTTAAGTTGCTGGCGCTCATGCTTCGTTCACGGTCGTCACGTGCGCATAGGAAACACGCCACCCTATCGGCAAGACTCATCGGCAGAAATATTCATATCGGCCGATGCCGATGATGGTCATTTTAAGCTTTTATCGGCCGATACCGATGTTGTCCCGATATCATCGTGCATCCCTAACAAATACACATCAAAAAGAAAAAACGGACACATCAAGGTATATTAAAAGCTAGTGAAAAGAAGTGCATTTTCAGAGAAGTTTTAAAAAGTGTCAGAGTTTGGGCGGATCTGATATTTAAGGGTAGGCTATTCCATAGCTTGGGTCCATAAGCTGCAAAAGCACGGTCACCCCTATTTTTTAATCTGGTCCTGGGGACAGAAAGTAAGTTCGAATCCCCCGATCTTAGTGATCTTGACTTAGATTCTGGGTGAAGCAGTTCAGATAGGTACTGGGGAGCTAAATTCTGTAAAGATTTAAAAACAAAAAGCAAAACTTTAAAATCTATTCGGAATTTAATCGGTAGCCAGTGAAGCGAGATCAGAACCGGAGTAATATGTTCAAATTTACGTTTTCCTTTGAGGAGGCGTGCAGCTGCATTTTGGACTAATTGTAGACGGGTGATATGTTTCAGAGGAACTCCAATATATAAAGAATTACAATAGTCCAATCTGGATGTTACAAAAGCATGCATAGCTATCTCAAAATGTTTACCAGACAAGAATGGCTTAACCTTAGATAAGAGACGAAGATGAAAGAAGCAGGATTTTACCACAGCACTTATCTGCTTTTCAAGGTTAATGTTATCAATCCAAAATAAATAAATTTCCCTATATATATTCATTTAAATGTTTAATAAATCGATCTGTTAATCATTATATAATAATTGCTAATCTACTAAAAATATAAATAAAATAGTCTGTATCAGTCAAGGCGTCTAATTTCTTTTGTCATGCATCATACACAGTATTGTTTATGAAGTCTGCAGTACTACTTAATTTAGTTTTTCAGTGCCTGCTAATGGATATGATGTGTTTGT